AGCCTCGTGTTGTGCACAAGCTTCATGTGGCGCTGTTTTTGGCTAAGGGCTTTGTCATGTCCCGTCCAAGTGAACACAACATGACAAATGGGACATGGCCACTTGACCGTAGACACCCGATTCTTGCGATGCCCAGACTTTTCGGAAAAGGTGAGAGGGTCATGCCCCGTGTCTTCGACTTCGCCCAAAGGGTGCTGCTTGAACTTAAGGCGCCGACGAGCAGGGACCGCTGAGGGGCCGGCATCCGAAGAGACTGCAAGCTCTCTGTCCAAAGCGGGCTCTTGCACTAAGCTGTCACGTGCAGAGCCAGGAACCGGCTGAGGCGGCTGCGACACTGCGTCCGGCGCCAGAGTGTGCAGGGACACAGAAGCCTCAGTGCAGCTGCTGAGCCGGGCCCGCTTAGGGGCCTTACGAACCTGAAGTAAGTCCGGGCCCACCATCGTGTGCAGTGAGGGCGTGGCCTCACTCGGGACTGACAGCTGCTGCTGAGCAGAAGCCTTTTCAGGAGCCTTAGCCGCAGCCGTTGTAGTCCCCAAGGCCTGGTGGGACCTCAAGGCTCTGTCCGCTCGCGCAGCCTCAGGGCACAGAGTGCGCAGCGAGACCGAAGTCGCGTCGCTCACTGCCTCCGCGTCCCCCTTAGAGGCAGGCACAAAAACTTGGTCACTCTGTTTAGCACCACCTGGCAAGTCGTCTGCCCTAAGGGCCTGTGTCTCGCGCAGCCACGTCCACGGAACAGACCCGTCCGGAGGGGTACGCAACGAACAGTAGTGGTTGTTTCGGAGGACGACGACGAGAGGGGGGGACTTCGGGTTCGTTTTTGGCCAGCCTCTGCTAAAAGCCGGAGCAATGACAAAACGCCTATCGCCTGCGGTCCCTTCGCCTATCTTCCAAACGCAGATAGCGGTGCCCAGTCTGTCCGCAGTAGCCTGAATCAGACGGGCGCAGATCCAATGGCCCGGTCGGACCGCGCGCTCGAGATAGGCCTCCAGCGCGTCATCGGCCTTCTGCTTGAACTGCTCGGCCGAAGTGCCGCCCTCTTGCAAGAAAACATTCCAAGCATCCTCAGAAACATCAGCTCCGGGGATACCTGCGCGATATTTGTCGGCATGAGAGCGAATGTGACGCACACTGGCCGTCCTGAACCAGTTGCCGTGCTGGATACTGTCCTTTTCGCTGAGAGCATTGCCGTCTTTACGCCACGCCCAGTTGTCCGCGAGGGCGCGCCACCCACAGTCCCCACTGCCGCCGTGGTCAACTTCACACCAACCCACGCGAAGGGCTTCCGCGCATGAAGTTGGCTCCCGCTGCAGAGCCGGATCGTCAGTGGCTTCGGCTTGCTGGGACGCTCCATCAACCTGCATGCTCCCAGGCCCCGACTGAGGAGGGGGAACAGGATCGACCTCTCCGTCCGCAATTTCGTCGGAGTCCCGCTTCGGTGACCTACTGCGCTCGCGTCGCTCGGGCTCCTTTTTTGGGGCCGGCTTCTTTGGAGGGGCAGGCTTCTTTCCGTGCTCCTGCGCCTCGCGGTCTTGCCACTTCCTCCGAGGGCCGGGGGCCAAAGAGGAGACTACGGGAAGAGAGGGCCTTGACAGATTTTCATTAATCGTCACGCAGAACTCATCATCACATTCATAGCACCATGCCGCTTGGTGAGCAGTCTCTGCCGGTGGCTGAGCCTTGGCATTCCAGAACACCTGCTTGTGCTTAGAGCGCCTACCGTGGATTTCGATGTTAGTCCATCTCTGCTGGGCCAAGAGGTCGCGAATCTCCTCGGCCTGCCAATCCTTTGGGACCTTAGTGAGCTGGATATGCTTAGGGCGAGCCTCCTTGGGATCAGCATCATTCCTAGCAAAACCCAGATCAGTCCCCAGACCCTTTCGAAGGAAAGGCTTCTGGGATCTCTCAACAGCAAGAGACATCACCCGCTGGAGGTACTCTTCGTCCTCCTCGTCACTCAGCTTCTTAACCCACCAAATGTTGGGGGGGTCACCGGCCCGCTTCTGAGGATACGCGAAGATTCCCCTCTGACCGGAAACTTCAGTGAGCTTTTGAGCCTCCTCCGTGGGAAGCTTCAGCCACCCCACTAGTTGGCTGTGTTCTTTCTTTGACGAAGGCTGGATCTGCTGCCAGTTCCACGTGCCCCCGGTCAAGTGACATGCTCGGATTTTGCTCAGCCCGGCTAATTCGGCAAGCAAATCTTTCACGGATTGCTCCTCTGGTAAGGGCACAAAAGCCCGCCTGTAGTGTGTGGGAACCACGACCCGAACAACCACACGCTCTCTTTGCTTCACCGTGCCTTGTTGGACTTGCACAGAGGGGAGCTTCCAAGGCGCCGACTTGCCGAGCATGAGCAACGCAACGTCCTCCACGCCGGGCTCGCGACCGACCCTCTTCAAGCGGAGCCGAGTCAGCGTGGCTCCGACCGCATCTTTGGCCCTGCCAGTAAGCAAGATCGTGAGACCTCGCTCCGGCTGGAAAGAGTTAAACAGATCCTTGAGGAGCTGCACTGTGTGTGGACTGTCGGTCCACGTGACTGAGCCCTTGACAGCCTCACCTTGCTTAATGGCTCTAACTACTTCCTCGGAACTCACGAGAGAAACCTGTCCTTGCCACTCAGCAGGAGAAATGCCAACAACTCTAGGCTGTGACGCGGGCTGCTGCACCTTGGTCTTCGGCGTCTGAAAATGAGCATGAGCTTGAGCTTCATGAGCATCGACCCGCCAGGAAGCATGCCCACCGCGGCCAACACCCGAGGAGGAGTGAGGGGGCCACCACCACCCTCCCGCATCTTGGACCCACTGGTCCCAGGGAGCATCATGAGGATCAACCCAAGCACCGTCCCAGCCAGCCCAGTAGTCCCAGCTACTCTCCTGTAGCTCGGACGGGGTGTGGTGCCACGTGACCCGGCGGGAGGAAGCAGTGCTTCCAGGGGCAGGGGCATTCTCAGGCAGGGGAGCCGGCGCAGTACTTGGCGGTTCTCGCCCGCCTTTCTTCTTTTTCGGCTTCTTCGGCGGGAGAGCGGAGCTGTTAGCACTCTGCGCAGGACTAGGCAGCTGGTACTGAGCAGCAAGGGACCGGACCACCGCTTGACTGACAGCTTGCACTAAGCTCTGAAACTGCCCGGAAGAGAAACCCCAGGCTTCGGCCTGAGCTTTCTCCAGCCGTTTTCGTCGAGTGCGCCGAAGCCCGGCAGGCCCCGGGTTGCTTGCCTCGCCCACTCGTTTGCCCTTGTAGGGATCCCAGCCTCTACCAAGAGCTTTCCAAAACAAGGCACGCACTTGCTTAGCACGGCCCCGAAGGCGGTAGTTACGACGCTTGGTCTGAACCCTTCTTCCGCCGACAAAGCGCGCGGCCAGAATGACTTTGGAGCCATACCCGAGCTGACTGCGTCGGCGCGAGTGGAGGTTAGGTCTCCGTTTACGTCTCCTGCGCCGTTTCAGAGGCAGGAGAAAGAAGCTCAGGAGCCGACCCAAGCTCGACACTGGTTCTGAGTAGCACACTCGGTGCCCAAGGCAGGCCCGAAGGGCACCCCTGAAGCCCCGGGCCATTCGACTTACTAGGTTCCAGCAAGAAACTGGCTCAAGGACCAAAAGCAAAAAGATGCGTTGCGCCAACCAGCGCAAAACATCAAGGAACTGTGCGCTGCAGAAAGACGTGGGCAAACCTACATCCTCCAAAACGCGAAGCAAAAAGAACTGTGCAGGCCTAGGCACGGCAGCATAATTGCAAGTAGGGAACTGAAAGTGTGCTGAGCTCGCCCAAGATGACGCCAAGCCATGCTCCATTGCAGCAAGGAGCGGAGGGGAGGGACAAAGGTTGGGGCAGCCCGCAGGGCAGTGGTCAGACTGTTTCAAGTCTGCGGAGTGGTTTCGGGGCCACGTCTGTTGCGTGGACACTCCTTGCACACTCCGTAAAGAAAGACAAACGACCAGGAACCAAAGGAACCCTCTGGACCCGAAGACCGGCCTACCCCAACCACCACTACCACCCGAACCGGAGTGGGGCTGAGGTCGCACGTAAGAGGAGGTTGGGCCTCCTTCGACCGCGCTGTGCGGTTGCTCTTTTTTCTGATCTTTTTGTGCCAACTGGGCATCTTGCTTTACTTTTGATTTGTTTTCTTTTTTGTTTTCTTGTGTTTTCGCTCTCACTGAGCAATTAACTAGCTGCAATCCGGCCTCGTGAGCAGACTCACGCCAGCCAGACAAGAAAGTCTGCAGAAGATTCGCTACGCCACGGTCGTGACGTCCCGCTGGCCCGTCGAGGACGGTTTCTGCACGCCAGCTGAGACCATGGCAGCTTCACAGCTCCAACCAACGACCACGCACCCGCTGGAACCAGCACGCGCTACAGGTTGCCTTGGACGACCCTGAAGTTGCCAACAATTTCTTGCATGATGCTCAGGCTGCTTGGGGGCCCATTGCGGCTCAGCACACTGATCTCAGCACTTCTACCGGAGTTGAAGCATACTGGCGGAGTGTCATGGCAGCCACCCACAAGATTGCTGTACAGCATTTTGCTATGCGGCCTACGCAGCGCTCACCTAAGATTTTGCCTGCCACGTTTGACCTTCTACAACAAAGACGCGCAGCTCAGGACACACTCTTGCAACATATGCATGGATGGGTCAATGTGTGCCGCCGAGATGTTCTACGATGTTCTACGTTGGTTCTTCGTTGCCATGCGGCTTTTCGCCACTCACTCGCATTGTGACAGGGCCTGCAGGGCTGCAGTGAAACACGACAACAAGCAGTGGGAGTCTCGTCTCGAGGCGAGATTGCAGCAGGCCGTAGACTCGCATGACACTCGGGAGGCATGGGCCACAAGCCGACAGCTCGCCGGTCACGGTCGCAGCAGGATCATTGACCGAGCTGTGCCAGCTGCGAAATTGATTACTGCAGTGGGAGAAGCACATGAACGACATTTGGGGCGCGCCGCGACATAATGGCGATATCGTCCAGACAGCTGCCAATGCAAACCCTTCTGCTCAGCCTCAGGTGCCAATGCTGCGGGGTGAGTTGGGCCGACAGCAGCTGCTGATAGCTGCTCGCGCGCAACCTCGGTGCCGTGCTACGCCTGAAGGTTCATTGCCTGCAGAGCTTTGGAGCCTGATCATGCAAACCGGACCACTCGCAGTGGATCAGCCCGCCTGGATTGCGACTGAAGCCGTCAGGTTCTTCGAGGCAGTGCAAACTTTAGGATACAATCCGCAAGCTTGGTGTGATGGTTTTGGATGTGCCATCCCCAAAACAGGCGGCAGCCCTGGCCCCAGCGGTCAGCGCATCATCAATTTGTTGGACCCTGGCGGTAAGATGTTTTACAAGGCCCTTTGGAATGCCACTCCAGACCAACCGGCTGCGCATCAGTATGGGTATGCTGCAGGTCGCTCCCGACGAGATGCTATCTTGCATGTTGAGGCTTGGCTTGATCGTCTTCGCTTCAACAAACTGCACACGGCTGCCATCTTGTTTGACCTGACGAAGGCTTTTGACACACTCAGCTTGCCCAGCACCGAGCAAGCTGTGCGAGATACACACCTTCAGCCTGCTGCCGAACAGCTCTTGCTTGACCTATACACCGCAGACTTCGAATTCGGCTGCCACTTCAGCGAGGGGATATCCTACAGGTCAAGCTGCAGTCTGGAGTGCTTCAAGGAGGGGGCACTGGACCACGCATTTTCCGCATTGCGTACGACTCATGCGTCCTTGAATGGGAGCAGGCCTCCGCTGCTGACGAGAGCGAGTTCCTGGTTGACTATGCAGGCCAGCAACTCTTTCTGGGCGTCGCAGCTTATGCTGACGATCTCATCCGGATTGTAATCGGGCGCAACCTCCAGCAGCTTGCTACCACAGCGTCACAGAATCTTGCCTCACTTGAGGGCGTCCTGCAACCTCGGAATCTTCAGCTGAACGAGCGTAAGGGTGAAACACTTTTGTCCTTCAGTGGCAAGGGCGCCTATAAGGCAGCGCGCGATGCTCACGCTGGGCACTGGCCCTGCTACCCGCCCAAGCTGGTGGTGAAGTACCTCGGCGCGCAGATCCATGCGACTGGTTCCCTCAGCGCTGAAATACGCAAGCGTGTGGCATCTGCAAAGGCTGGCTTTGCTCGATTTGCCCGTTTCTTTAAACGCAGTCAAGTGCCTCTGCCTCGAAAAGTTCTTGTCTTCAAGGCTGTGGTAAATGAGGCCTTGCTTTCGGCATTGGAAGTGCGCCCGCTCAGCAGGGTTGATGAGCGAGCACTTGAGAGTGCTCGCGGGTTGCTCCTTCGACGACTTTTTGGGCGACAGGGATACGGTGCAGTCGCTGGTGACCCTCAAAACCGCTCCGTCACCATTGACAGCTTGCGCCGTCGGGCTAATTTGGCCACTGTGGCTTCAGAACTACGTGTTCGCAGACTCTTGTGGTTGCGCAAAGCTCTCCTTTACGAGCTAGACGGGCAGACCCGCCTTGAGCTGGCGGCGCTCTTCGGAGTGAGCAACAAGCTACACAACACACTCATGCCCGGCACTGGTGCTCCTTCGCAGCATGCTCCTCGCTTTCTGCATCTGCTGTTTCGTGATCTGCAGTCAGTACTTGTTGGTTTTTCTGGTTTTTCCGGTAACTGGAAAACTTGTTTTCTGCAAGTGTCAGTCGCTGCCTTGCGTCGACTTCGCACGGTGAGCTCCCCCCAAGCTGCCAACGATGCTGCAGACGTGGTCGTGCCGCAGGTCGAAGCCAACGCTTCTACAGACGATGAGGCTGCTGTGGCGCCTGCGGTTGTTGCACCACCAGTTCCGGTTTTCAGCTGCCAGCTTTGCGACTGTGGACCTTGGCGCACTGCCCGTGCTCTGCAGGGACACATGGTGAGCAAACATCGCTTCCGGCACGCTTTGCAGGACACAAAGTGTCCGATTTGCAGCAGGCAGTTCACTAGCAAAAGTGCTGCACGCAGACATGTTCAGAAGCAATCCTGTGACAAGCCTGTCAACAATCATGGACATGCTGGTGCTCTAGCCGGCCAACGGATTGCAGCCCAGGCCCGAGCTCCAGCACAGCGCCCCCCAGCTGCATCGACTGTCAACCAGCGCTCCATTGCTGAGTTCTTCGCGGTACGAAATGCCGAGCATGGACTTCCTGCAGCCGCCAGCGGTGACGAGCCCGACAACACGGGCTCCCAAGCGCACGCGTTCGGACGGGCCTCGGGCAGCGGGCATGAATCCTCTCGAGCAGCAAGTCAAGGAACTCAGCCTGAAGCTGGACAAGGTGTGTCAGCTCGTTGTCAGCCACGACCACAGCATCAGGGAGATGGAGGCTTGGAGTACTCGCACCTGGATTTTCGAGAAGGAGAGCGAGCTCTCCACGGTGCTCATGAGCCACATGAATCAGTGGAAGCAGCATCTACCTCCACAAGGCCAGCCGCATCCGCACGGCCCTGCCCGTCTCACGGTTGGCGCGGGTCTGGCCAAGTGGTTGTTGGAGGATCCGGATCGTCGTCAAGCAATGCCCAAGTTCACAACCATGCATGACGCTATGACTGGTCTCACTGACATGCATAACAGCATCCAGCTCGCATATGTCAAGGTGATTAAGGATGGCAGAACACTCCTCAAGCTGCGCCCACAACAATCCGCCAGTGATGAGTGGACAGAGGCTTTCACTTGGATGCAGCAATCTTTGGCCTCGCTCAAGGCGGAATCCAAAGATGCGGCACCGCCTGGCCCACTTGTTCGCAGCTTGACTCGCCGAGACAAGCCTGCTGAAGCCGCAGAGTGACTGAACGCTGCTCCGATGTTCCCGTGCATTTTTGCGTCTGCAGAAGCAGTGCCCATCTAAGGGACTCTCCCCTTAGGGCCAATCCCCCTTTCAAACTAAGGGGTCGCAGGATTGGCTGTTTCTACTTGCTTAGTTGATTCCCGTGTGATTGAGTTCGCGCCAGCCCAGCTGACGTGCGCAGTCTCTGACTGTGGTGAACACTACAGCGATGTTTTCCTCTTGTCATTTGATTGACGAACAGACCTCGCTAAGTGGATGCAATGCAATGCAAAAATGCTACTGCTACTGCCACTGCCACTGCCACTACTACTGCTACTGCTACTGCTACTGCTACGACTACAACTACGACTACGACTACGACTAACTACTACTACTACTACTACTATTTTCAATTGAACGCTGCGCGAGCGTGCTCTGCGCTTTGCGGGCGCCTTTGGTCTCGTGCACTCGTGAAACTGCTTCTAGCATGCATCGCTCATACCTCTCAAATCTGCTCAAACTACTGAAAACTACAGCTACAAAAGCTTCCTCCTCCGACACCTTGGTGTGAACAGACGCGTCCATCTGTGCACCTGTCACAACAATCAGGCCGTACCTCAGACGAAGCCGACACCTGGAGTATCCGTCTCGTGGCGCCCCACACGGATTACTCATGTTGAAGACAGAAGGCCGTAAGGGTCATGTGCTCATGACCACATGTACCTGCATGCATCGCCGATGATGCCGATGGAGTGAGGCTGTTGGCAACTTGGACATGGGCAACTCTCTGATGCAGTGATGTGCTGTTTGTAAGCAAGACTAGCTCGCGGTTCACAGGCTTCCGAAGAGATTTGCTAAGCGTCGGAAGAGTTCCGAATTCCCAGAGTCTGTGACATAAGGGATCAAAAAGTCTGTGACATATCTCTACCCTCACTGGTCGTGACCTTTTGGCCACTGCTGGGAGTAACTGTGCCAGGACCACTGCTGCCACCAATCCCAGTCGTCCTCTTGGGAGGAGCGTGCCTGCCTGGCCCACTGGGTCGAGGATGAAGAGGAGGGGGCGTCGCGCGGACGCTTGCCCTCTGTGTCAGCCTCTTGCATCTGTGGGCGCTTATTAGGCGCAGCAGCAGCAGCCAGTTTGGCCATGCGCTTGTCTTCCTCGTGCCCCTTGTCATGCTGAATCCGCATCTTCATGATGGAGTAGGCATCTTTGTTGGGTTTGACCCTGAAGACACGAGCTGGGAGTCCTGCTGATTTGGCTGTTTCATTGTAGACTGCCACGATGGTAGTGGCGATCATGTTGAACTCTACCCACGATGGGAAGTGCTGCTGAAAGTCCTTCTCGTCCCACATCTTATTGAAGCAGGCATGGATAAGGCCATGCACCTTTGTGGGGGCATCCAGCTCGCGATAGGCTCCTCCCGAACCTGTGGCTATAGTTACCTTCCCATCGCTGGTGAGGACCCGCCTCACCGACATGGCGATGTCCCATGTGAGGCCTGTTTGTGTCTTTACCGACTTGATGGCAGAAAACAGCGGAGGTACCTCGCGGAGTGCGTCCACCGAGAATGACTGGAGCCACCAGCCAATGCCCGAATCCAGTCCTGGTGGGACTGGGAGCTCAGCAGTTGAGCCAGCTCCTGCCTCGTGTATCGTACTGTCTGTTGTGGAGCCGGCTGTGGAACATAACCAACGGGTGCCGCATTGGTTTCCGGGGGCTCATATGCTGACGGGGGACGGGAGGAAGGAGGAGGGGGCGTGTGGGAGCGCGGAGCGGCCTGGGTGGCAGGGGTAGGGGGAGAGGCAGACTTGGGGGGGTGCGGAGGGATCGGGGAAACAGAGCCGGTGGGGGAGCAGGTGCTGCCGAAGAGGAACCCTCCGGAGGTTGGGGGCACGGGGTGGGCACCGTGGACGGCCGGAAGCGCTGGGGCCGCCTTCGGTGCCTCCACCTGGCTTGCCTTGAAGGCCGCCTTCTCGGCCGCCGTGGAAGTGAAAGGGCAGGGGGGGGAAGGCGGCGGCTCAAAACCGGCTGCTTTGTCTGATCCTTTAGTCCTGGTGCTGCTGGGTGGGAGAGGAATCTCCTGTGGAAGCTTTGGAGGAGGGGGAGGAAGTGGTGCGAGGGTTGCCGACATGTCGCTTGGCGCCGCAGGTTGTGACACAGGGTCATGCTTTTGCGTGACAAAGTGGTTTTTGAGGCCGTAGCCTGTGCTGAACTGGATCTGTCGGTTATGCTTCCGGCAGTGTAGGCAGCACAGCCACATGGAGCCTGAAACCTCCATTTGTCCCAAACCGCGAGGGATGAGCTCCAGCACATCCTGCTCTGTAAGATCTTGGTTATAATGATGGGTCTCGCGGACTGTGGCCATGAGCGCCGCAAAGGAGTTGTGCTGGATGCTGTCTGCCACATAGGTTTCGATGTCCTCCTGAGTGGGAGGAGGAGGAGCTGATGTGGCGGTTGCCTTGGTCTGTGACCTAAGTGGCTGAGGTGAGCTGTGCTCTTCGGGTCGATCAGCGGACTGGATTTCCAGACAGATGTCGGGAAGCTGGCTCTGCAGCATGCGATCGGTTCGTTCCTTGGTGGTGGGGTCTCCCTGAAAACCCTTCATCCACTTCCAGCACCTGGTGTAGGCCACTGTCGACTACTACTACTACTACTACTACTACTACTACTACTACTACTACTACTACTACTACTACTACTACTACTACTACTACTCCTACTACTACTCCTACTACTACTACTACTACTACTACTACTACTACTACTACTACTACTACTACTGCTACTGCTACTGCTACTGCTACTGCTACTGCTACTGCTACTACTACTACTACTGCTGCTACTGCTACTCCTGCTGCTACTACTATTTTTTTCAATTGAACGCTGTGCGAGCGGGCTCAGCACATAGCGGGCGATTGCCGCGGTGCACTCACATGGTGTGAAACTGACTCAGACCCTATAGCTGAACAGCCCAGGTCGAAGACCTTTGGGTGTTGGCGGCCTACAGGCTTCAAGCTAACTGGCAGTGGTCAGCCGAAGCAAGTGGGTAGGCTGCCAGGCATCAAGCTTCAGATTGTTGTGTGTACCTGAGCGAGGATAGTGATTATGCAGCACTAGTTGCAGAGGCACAGTTCTGCGACTGGCAGAAGGCGAGGCATGTTTTTCTCTGACAGCGGCGGCAATCAGCAGAAAGGCCGTCAGTACGTTCCGGAAGAAACGAAGTAGAAGTGCAGGCATGGCCTCCGTATTGCACTGCATAGGTTGCCATTGGCACCGGTGATCAAAGTTGGAGCTCACTGGTGCCAGGAGCGGCTGCCACTGGCCCCCGAGTCCGAGCCACGATTCCACCACCCTCCTCGGGTCCAGGCATCGCCGTCTCTGTAGCGCTTGTCTGTGTGAGACTGTGTCTCTTCACCAGAGCGCTTGTCACGCTGTTCACGCTGCTCACGTAGCTCGCGTTGACGATGCCATTGGTAGGTGGCCGTGTCGCCCTTGTTGTGTTCGATACGGAGCTTGCGGACAACTTGTCCATCCCGAGGCTGGTTGAAGATGGCGCGATTTTGGCCACCACTCTTCCTGGAGGACTGGTCATAGATGCACTTGAAGGTGGAGGCCACGATCTCGAAGTTGTCATCCGTTTCGAGCAATGCGCTCATGTCCGGATGATCCCACATTTTCTGAAAGAGGGCGTGCACGATGCCATAGTAGGTCGTGGTGGACTTGAGCTCGGTGTAGCGATCATCTTGGCCAATGGATAATGTGAATTGGCCATTGGCCCCGACCATAAGCCGCGCTTGAGTGATGTCAAGCCAGTTGGCATCCTTGTCAGTGGCGACCTTCTTGATCGGGGCGAAGATCCATGGCACCTTGCCCAGTGCCCTAAACCGATTGGTCCAGAGGTAGACCTGCTCGGAGGCCGTGAGGCCACCCACTATAGCCTGCTCCTTCATAATGGAAATGGTCGCGAAGGCATGAACCCACTCCAGCATCTGGTCAGACTGGCAGATGTGGATAATCTGATCTCGCTTTGGCAGTTGATTTGCCTCTTGCTCTGGAGAGGGGTTGACACTGTACTCCACCAGCTTGGTCGTAGTGACCGGTCCCTGGTATTTGACCTCTGCACGCGTAGAGGGGGCATCCACAGGGGAGGATGATGTGGTGTCAGCCGGGCCTGGGGTCTGCGGGACGGTCTCCTCGGTGGGGGCAGCTGTCGGAGTCACATTCTGGGCTGAGAATGCGTTGAAAGGCCGATCACTTGTCTGGCCAGAGCCAGCAGACTTGTGTGACTGCGGTGTGCTCGCCGGCAGCATCGGAGTGTCTGGCGTGCCCACAGTGTCTTCCGCCCATCCCAAACGTGGGATCAGCAGTGGCCTGTTTCTCATCCTTGATGTCCGCCTGTTGGTCATTGTGTTTCACTGCAAGAGGCCGGTGGCCCTGCGCATGTGGGGTAGGACCTGGCGGAATGGGAGGGAGGCCGAGCCCAAAGCGTGCCTTAGACACCGACGCTGTGGGTCTCCACTGGGGCGGACGGTCCGCCGTGGGTTCTGGTGGTGGTGGAGCCTGGCCTGACGCTGCGATGGCTGCAGCTGAGGGAGGGTTTGCAGGCTCGGCCGGGCGCTGCGACCACATGCTGTTGCGAGGCGGAGGGCTTGGTGGCTCGGGCACTGATCGGTCGTGCCGGGATTGCATGAAGTGGTGGGTGACTCCCAACTCATTTGGGAACTTCAAGCGCCGACCGCCGCGCTCGCAGTAGCGGCAGGAAAGCCAGTCTGGATCTTCAGGGTGGAGGCAGAGGCCTCGGGGGATGTTGCGAAGGACAGCCTCGGCCGAAATGCCGTGGTACTGCGGCTCCTTCTCGACCGCCGCCATGATCGCGTCAAAATCACCCCGTTCGAGGCTGCTGAGCACGGTCTCGCCGACAACTCTGACGCCTGCATTGGTGAGCATTGCTCCCGCCTGTGCTGAATGGGGTGCTGCAGAGGCAGCGCCACCGGCTTCAATGACCTCCGAGACGATTTGG